TTGCACTCCTGATCCTCCTGCCTCAGTGTCCCAAGTGCTGGAATTACAGGCATGTACCACCACACCCACTGGTTTTATGTGATGCTACAGATGAAACCCAGGACTTCATACCTGCTAGACAAGCACTCTGCCAACTGAGCTATATCCCCAGCCCCAGCACAGAGTTCTTAAACCGGCAGAATTAAAACCAGACCCTTCCAACTTGCATTAATTGGTACCCTTCAAGTCTCTCTTACACCCTCAGGATAAGTACCACCAGGACAAAGAGACACAGAAGTGGGTTGATGCTCTTGGCAAATGGTGATGACACATTCGCTCTCATTTGTAGCCAAGGCATAAAACAGAAGTTGAAATGGCCAGAAACACTTGGTGGGAGATGGCTCTAGAGCTGCCCAGAGCTCAGAGGAGTGCTGCCTACCTCTCAGGTTGCAGATATCCAAGGGGCTTTCCTCGTTGTCTTGTTCACTTGGGCTGTTCTAATCTTATTCTTTCTTGCATAAGAGAAGTACAGCACATGCCCAGTGGTCACAAACAGTATGGAGAGGAAGACCAGCATGCTGAACTGCTGTGGCCTCGGGGCCAGCATGATGAGGACAAAGTGGATTAGGTCCATGAGATAGTTCAGGGAGCACGGTACGCCACTCATAGCCCCCCACTCTGCTTCTGGAATGTTCTAGAGAAGCTGAGTTACAGTGAGGTCAAAGGACCAGAGGCCTACAAAGCAGCCATGTAGGGGAATAAACATGAGCAGATGTCTCAGTGACATTCTGGCTTTGGTATGGATTAGTATTGCTGCATTCAGGAAACATAGCTCTGTGCTGCTCAGTTTCCTCATCTGTGGAATAGAGGTATTTTAGGCAATTGCTTACTGAAGGATTCCATGAAATTTTAAGGTGCTTCACACAGCCTGACTTCAGTGCAATGTAGTTACGGTCAGAGTTTGAGGTGTTATATCAACATTATTAGCTGGTGGTGGTGGTGGTAGTGGCAGTGGTATTTTGAAACAGGATCTTACTATGTAACCAAAAAGATCCTCAAACTCACAATCCCCCTGCCTCAGCCTCCTAAGTGCTGGAATTAACAGGTCTGAACCACTAGGCCCATGTTCATAATTTTTCTCTTTTTCTTTTTTCTCCATCCTGGGATTCTAGACAGAATTATTACCATGCCTGGCCTGAATTATTTTTCAAAGAACAGCAAAGCTTTACACACAAATTTCCTTTTGAATCACCTTCACGACAGCCATCATCATATGTACCATAACTTCTTGGATGCATTTATGCCCCCATTTCATTGCAAGATGTGCACAGGTCAGAGAACAGTGTTTCCTGTTCATCTCTGGCTTAGTAGAAGAAAGGTCAAGCTCCTCATCCCCATTTCAACCCCATAAGGCGGATATGTTTGAATATACTTCAGAAGCAGCCTAGGGACCTGATGTCAGTCATCCAGTTGTGCTAAAGCCAGCTGTGCTGAGGACAGTGCTGCCCTTGGGGTTCTGCTACCTTCTCCCTTGGGGGCCAACACCCAGTTCCTGCCAGCCTGGTTGGTTTCCCAGCTAGCCACCTTCCGGATTCTCCCTAAGATGCAGCACTGGCTCTACAGAGGCCTTTTACTTGCCTCTATCCCAATGCCTGGACTTAGCTCTGGACTCAAAAATTATTTAGAGATAATGTGCCATGTGTCTACCCTTGCAGGGCCTTACCCAGGCCCTCCGTCCTTGGACTGGGTTGCTTTAGCCACTACACTATGGTAGCCACCACAGGCCCTGAATTTCTCCCTATCTGTAGCCCAGAGCTGAGCTGTGAGAGTTCCCCATCTTGGCCCTTAGCAAGCAGCACTCACCACATTAGAAAGAATTTGTAAAATTCTGCAAAGTACAATGTGAAGTGTAGGCTAATTATACACTGAAAATTCGTTCTAAATTGGGGGCGTAAAGAATTACAGCTCTTAGACTTTAAAAAGGGAAGCCATTTTTAAGCAACGTGCCAAATCTGGCTATCGGCATAGTTCTGCAAGTTCACTTCCTTTGAAATGCAAACATTTATTGAGCAAATACCTAGGATGAGCCCTGTGTGTTGTAGGTATTGCTCCCAGTAAGGGGACCATTCATCTTGACTACCAGGCTTGACGGTGGTGATCATGCTAACAGAGGCATGTACATCCCCTTGGGTACTGATGCTACTCTTCCAATGCCATATCACCAACCCCAAGTCATCAGCAATCCCAATAAGAATAATTGTAAATGGCACTTGCTGGGTGGGCAGGAGTCAGGAAACCTCCACATCACAACTCAGCACTGTGGTCCTTGTGTCTCACTGCCCAGCCCACACTCCACCTTCATATGACATCACTTGTTAAAGTACCAAAATCATAGCTAAATCCAGTCATAATGATGGTGACCAAAGATGAGAGTTAATGCCCATCATCAGGCAACCAGGCTCTGGATCCTGAACTGTAACCCTCAAGAGAGTTCTGAGTCTCTGGAATCTTCATCTGGGATACAATGAGTGAAAAATCACCAAGCAGAGATCGAGAGTGCTGAATGCTTCCCACATGACAGGCTCTGCTCTTAAGCTCTCCAGATGTGATCATTTCCCGTGTGCCAGTCATCCTGGTAGGCAGGAGTCACTGGTAGAATAGTTTTCCCATTTTCAACTAAATATTTATCATGATAAAATATGAACTGCGTAAATCTTTCATGGCCAATCTACTCCCAGTTTGTCCAATGAAAGGTGGATATGGAAGTCAAACCCCAATAAAAAATAGTCCACCTAGCATGTACCTCACTCAAAATACTTCAAGGTCAGATAATCTCTGGTGAAAGAACATGTTTCTAAATCAGTTGTTTGGAAGTAGAAGTGTAGTTTCCTTCTCATGAATATGCATTACATCAGGGGAAGACAATTCCAAAGTTAGTCTATTTATAGCCTCTTGAATCAACCTTCAAAGCTCATTTCTTATGCCAGGCATGGTGGTGCCTTCCTTTAATCCCAGGACTCACACTCAGGAAGCAGAGGCAGGTACACCTTTGTGAGATTGAGGCCAACCTTGTCTGCATTGTGAGTTCCAGGCCAGCTGGGGCTACAGGGAGACACCATCTCAAAACAAAACAAGACAAAAAACCAAAACTTATTTCTTATCTTCCAAAGTTCCCAAGCTTCTATAGAACAAGGTGTTATTGGACTACAAGGCAGAAATCAGCAACAGACATCCTAAATCCATGGTCCCACCCAACCAACGCCCTAGATATGGGAAACTGAGTCTCTGAGGCCCAAGAGGGCAGAGAATTAGCTTCAACTTGGTCCTTGGAGGTAAACAGGGATGGTGTGTGCAAAGAAACAGGGAGCTTGGTAGTGTCTTTGAATTTGGGGACCAGGCTATGGGCTATGGGCTTGGGCAAAGAAATGGTGCGGTCTGGTTAGAAATCCACTTATGAGGATCCATGCCCCAGATTCTTCTCTGCTGGATATCAGCAGATCTGATTACGAGAGGCAGGGTGTTGCTAACTGGTTCCTGTGACCACCACCATTGATCTATAGTGACATGTTGGGGTTGTCAGGCATCAAAGCACCAAAGTTTAATTATTTTCATCTATTAAACACCCTATCAAAAATATGTATGTTCTCGCTGCAAGGTATGAATGTCTAAATTAACACCTAAATTACAGCAGATAACAGTATCTACTCGGGCTGCAATTGAATTACATGAATGTCTACATTGCTACTCTTTCAGGACATGTTACTATAATATTCATCTTTTCAGCTTTGAGCCATGATGGAAGATAATGTAATCCCAAAGTCTGATGGGCTAATCATTTATAAATCTTAAAAATGTGTTTAATCAAGGCTAGGTTGACAACAAAGTTCAAAGACCGCTTGTGTAGGGAAGACAAGCTCATAGACTCTCACAGCTAGGCACCCCATCTTTGGGGGAAGAGTGCCCTGACTTCTCCCCCACAAAACTGCCATCTCTCCTCTTTCCTCATCCTTGTTTTACAGAGAAAGATTTTAATGAAAACATGACTTTCGTGAAGACATAGTCTGCAGCATGTACATACCTGACTCCCAAGAAATTGGAGCAGTTTTGCTTCCTCAAAACTTCAAGATTTTACTTTTCAGACTTGTCTACTGCCTGGGGCAGCCATCTCTCTCATATGTGCCTCACTGATTGAGCCTTCCTAGAGAAAAGCTTCCCTAAACCCCAAGACCAGATCCGATGTCTTTCCTGTGTTCTCAGTCACCTGTCCTTCCTACTTGGATCCTCTTGCTACACTGTTGTGACTACTCTTATTGCCTCACACCAAGACTACGGTAGCATGGGACTAAAACCTTATGTAATCAAGCCACCCCTGGAGCCCCACTATCCAGGACAGTTCTTAGCACATACCAGGTCCTTGATGAATGATGCTGAGGACTTACGGTGGTTTATGTGGGAGAGCAAAACATCTAAGATGACTTATCAACATCACAGGCTATAGAACTCCACACCGCACATGACCCACTGCTCACCAGTTCTTGCCAGAATCACACCAGAAAAGAGCAATACGATAGAGATATAAGACTCAGGCTGCTCAGGGTCCTGCTGGCTGTCAAATAGAACAGTGCTATTGGTTCAGTGGATGGAGGAATGATCCTGGAGGATGGCTTGGTTCAGGTTTCTTTTAAAAGGGTAAGTATGTACTTCGTCCTCTTCTAGCAACTCATGGTTTGAAGAGGAATTCTTGTTTAATGGGAGTAAGAAGATAGCCATATCAAAAGGACTTCCAGGAGCAAAGACAGAAAAGACACAGAGTGTTAGACAACCTACATGAAGCCATCTGGAATTGATTCCCGTGGTAACCATGCTCCTGGAGCCGGGTAAAGAGAATTGTGCCCAACAGACCAGACACAGCCAAAAGGGCTGTGAGGACACTAAGCAGGGATCCTCCAATGCCCTGGGTGTAAGCGTAGCCTGTGGTGATGCGATCAAACCCCAGAACAGTCATGTAAGGAAGGACAAGCCTAGGCCAGCCAGGAAGACAGTCTGTCTGCAATACATTTCCCATCCCTCCCGGCATGTGCCGAGCAGCCTGCGGGTGTTTGGCAGGCAGAGAAAACTTTGGCTGTTATCCGTTGTTCTTCAAGATTAGAATTGTGCTCCTTTGGTTTTTCCAAAGTTCTGGATTTGTTGATGAATCTATTGGTGGTTTCCCAAAACTCCATTTTACCTAAAATAAAATCCAAATAAGCTTAAATTCGATATGCTGCCCATGTCCCTCAGTCCATCCTGGCCTCCTCTGCTTCTGTGTTGAGCACTTCCTATACACACCCTGGGAACTGTCTGCAGGCACCAGAATGTGAATGGCATTCTGTAAGCATCCAAGGAACAACCCTTACCAATGAGTGACAAGAGTTTCTGGATAAACATCCCCATCTCCCCGGCCCTTGGTGGAACAATTCTGAGGTGCACCCTCCACAGTCTCTTTGAAGGTCCCCAGCTCCCTCTGCATACATACATACAACACTCCCATTATCAGCTTTTCTTCCTTCACCCTGCTTCCTGGATCTCATGCCAAACAGATCACTTTTCACCTCAGTCTTGTGTCAAGAAGTGCTCATAAGAGCACCCAAACTTAGACACGCCTGCAGTCAGGCAGGCATGGAAAGTGGAAGGCCAATTCAGGGGAAGGGAGGACAAAATTTCATATGCCTGAACTGGGGAATGAGCTTCCAGAAGTAGTAACAAGTATTTCCTTTGGTTACTCTTTCTGAAGAAATAGACACTCATGGAGGTGGGTTAAAAGTATCTAACTATTTTGAGAGGTATTCAGCACAAATAAAGACCAGTTCTACAAACATCTAGAGGAAGTAAGTAGGGCTCTGAAGGAAGGAGAGGGGCAGGAGGGCCAAATCCAAGGTCCAGGGGGTGGAGGACTTTTCCTATTACAAATGAACTTACTGCCAGGTCAACTAGAAATAAAGATAATTAAATAGCAACAATGAAAATATAGTTAGCACTGATGTAAGCTTCATTATTTATCAGGGGATGGAATATATCTTCATATAGACTATCTTATTTAATTCTCACAATAGTCCTATAAAATGAGTTATGTTACTGTCTTTACAGCAAGGCAGAGAGACACTATGAATAAGCTAACCTTGAAAGCTCACATAGGTGATACATGGTAGATGAGAGGGACATAGTCTCACCTATTGATCTACCTGTCCACTTACATATCCATCTGTCCATTCACCATCTAGATATGCACCTCTATTTATCTCTTCAAATACATTTTGCCCATGCAATTGGATATGGTAGGCTTTAATTATAAAACAACTTGAGAAAAATGAAAATTACTTATAAACCCATAAAGAAAAGCTGAGCCAACCAGGCAGCATTGCCAATAGGCAAAGATGGCTCTTACTTGGGGAGAACAAAGTCATGTCTCCTGGGAGGCTTTCCCTTCTATTCATTCTTCTCATAGTTAGGGAATTTCTAATTTTAAACAAATACTGCAGGGAGACCCAGTTCATCATCCTGATCAAAGGGTAGCCCATGCTCCTTAATTCTAGCCTCTTTGAGGAAGGTGTTCATGAGTGAGATGGGAAGGAGTCTCTCTGAATGGAGTCCCTGGAGTTACACAGTGCACAACCTGTGTAACTGTACAAACCAACCCCGCCTGCCCCACCAACAAGCCATATAAACCTCATGACCAATGGCACAGCTGGAGGCTTCTCATTTATCACTATTTCTAGGTACATATGCAGACAAAATGTTAAGATTATGGTCAGACACAAACTCTGGAAAAAGAAATGAAACACTAACATAGAGGAATAGAAAGAACAAGTGTTCTGTCTGAGTTGGCATTACCTTGGATGTCCACAGCCTCCTGCTGCCTTTGTAGGAAGTGCTCCCCTGTGTGCTGCTGGGTTTTTATAGCCAATTGGGCAACTAGTTGATAAACCCTGGACAGAAATAGAAACTCTACAAGAAGCGAAACTATGTTCCATCCAAGAATAAAGCCACAACCAATCACATGAGATACCCATGTCATCACCTGGCCCACAGACAGGGGGGGCAAATATACTGGTGACCTGGTCCAGCTGCCGGACTGCTGCATTCATGCCTGCAAGGGAGAGGAAGGCACACTGAGACTCGGGATAGATGCATCCTTCCTTCTGGTGAACTTAACACCATGTGTTTGCTGAGTTTGACAGCCACCCCAAGGCCAATGATAGGACAACAGGTTTAACTGCAGATTAGTGATGGGCTTTTCACCTTGAAAAAGGACTTTAGTGAAAGGCTGTAGTGAAATGTGAATGATTAGCAGATTTATAAACTAAGAGAGACTGGGTCACCCACTGCCTTAACAAGTATGATAATATTAATCGTCACTGTTTAATAACTAACACAGTGGCAGGGAGGAAGGTAATAGGGAGAGGACAGAGGAGAATGAGTTGAATTATTTTGTACTGGACACATTGTCCCAAACCTTATACCTATATTCATCTCAGTTAATCCTCACAATTCTAAGAAGTCAATGGTAGTTCCAATTACAAGTTAGGAAACAGAGGCACACAGAGGTGAATATATTTTCTCAGGACTGCAGAGAAAGAAAATGGTAGGACCAAGACTCAAACCCAGGCACTCTGACTTCAAGTTTAAGGACTCCACCACCATTGAAGATAATATTCACAAATTCATTTTCAAACCTGTAACAGATTTGAACCAAAATCTGTGCTTTCCCTTACACTTTTTAAAAATGAGTTAACAGAGAATAGAAAGGCTTTCTTTACCCTGAGGCGGAAGGCACACTGCACTGTGTCACCCAGCTTTTACTCACGTAGCTCTTATTTTGGGTGTTATTGAAGACACAGTACATCCAAATTAGTGCAACTTAAAAGAAAACATGATGATAAGGGGCTTCTACACTGTGCAAGGCAAGTACTTTAGACTCCTCCTGAATAGCTTCCTTTATCTTTCATCAGCACCCAGGCACTACAACTGCACAAGTATAGAGTAGTGGGTCTTCAGCTCTAAGTGGGCAATTAGAACACACTGCAACAGCAGCCATCAACGCTTTGTAAATGGAAGAAAAAACAAGTGTCAGATGTTCCGCCGCGTTCCTTTACTAGAAAATTTCTACCTCTGTTGTCAGTAATCATAAACAGTCACATTTGAAGGTTTTTTTTTTTTTTTTTGGAATGTGAAAGGTTATCACAGGCCAGAGATTAGAATTTTTCCATTTGCTTATTTTCTAGGTCTAAAATTGCTAAGGAACATCTATAAATATAAAGCTGCTCTTCAGAATTGTAGTCTATCTGAACTTTAGATAATAACAGTGTTGGCCATTCTGAGGTATGTGCAGATTCAGTGTTAAGCACTCCGTAAGTTCTGGATTTCATGAAATTCTTCCTTCCCCCAAGTGAGCTCAGAGCAAATGAATGCAGGTTTGTGTGTGTATGTGAGTGTGTGCATGTGTGTCCATGTGTGTCTGTGTGTGCACATGTGTGCACATATGTGTGTGCATGTAGATGCACTTGTATGTGTACGTGCATGTGTGCATGTGTGTACATGCATGTGTATGTGTATGTGAGTGTGTGCCCATGTGTGCATGTGTGTATGTGTGTGCATGCGTATGCATGTGTGTATGTGCGTACGTGTGTGTGCATGCATGTGTGTTCATGTATATGCATGTCTGTGTGTGTGTGTGTGCCTGTGTGTGTTTGTGCCTGTTTGTGTGTATGTTTGCCCCATGATACAGGTGAGGAATGTCAAGTTCAGAGAAGTAATTTGCCCCAGGACACGCAGATGGTAAGAAACAAAGCAGGTTTCATGAGAATTCAATCCCAGATCTGGTTGGCTCCAAATCCCTTTCTTCTACAGGCCATGATATTGCCTCTCCCAGAGCCCACCAGAGAGGCTGGTGAGAGGGTGGCACTGCTCAAAAGCCAGTTGACCTCTGTTGTCATCTGTGAGGGTCACAATCCAGTCCCTCTGAATAGTGATGGTCAGTGCTGTGCCAGCCAGGTTTGCCACAGCTGCCAGGGTGATCACCACTGTGTAGCAGGCCACCTGCCAAAGGAAGGAAGGAGAAGTTGAATGGAGACCAAGAATAGACCTTCCAACCCACAGTGGAGCACAGTCATTTATCTGACAGCTTGAAGAACATCTAAATGAACCTTTGAGAGGAAAAGGTTGCAGAAAGTCTGAGCCAGTGCATTTTCTTTCTCACCCCACTAGCTCAGATACAGGGCTAATTTGTACCTTGCAGACAGACTGCTACTCTACTGCCTCCCCCTCTGTGGGATTTGGCCTCAGCTGGTGAAAGAGCACAGTGAGCTGGCCAGGCAGACAGCATCTCCCAGCACATTCGGATGTGTTGGTGACACGTGAGGAGCAAGAGGGAAGACACTGTGAGCCAGCCAGGCCAGATTCGCTCCACCTCCCTCCTGTAGGAGAACACGAGCATCAGGACCACGCAGCAGGCAGTGACAGAGCGTTCTGAATGAAGAGCGAGGCATGAGCCACTGTGAAGGGAAACGCCCGGAGGCCCAACATTTACTGTTGGCTTTAAGAGTCAGGACACAGCTGCATCATCATTAGTGCAGAGCCACTGCATTTGACCAAGTCTGTGTGCCAATCAGGCCAATCACCTTCATCAATGGTCACAGGCATAGGTAGAACTCAAAGAGCAGGCTGTGTGCTCACTAAAGGCCAAGGCTTTGCAACAAAATTTTAAAACCCAGAGCTAGACTTTGCAAGGGAAGGAAAACATACTTGGAGAGTAAGATGATGAAAACACAGATTCCAGTCAAATTAAAGAACTTGAAATTTTCTGCTGCTACATCTAACTCTCCTGTATTTAATCTGCAACTGAGGCATTGGGCCTAATGAGTAATGATCCAGCAATTGGCTTTTCCATGGTCTGGGTTCGGCAAATGCCTTTCCAAGTCCTCTAGGTGAGACAAAAAATAACCGTGTTGACTAGTAATCAAAAGAACAGGACAGGGGGCTGGAGAGATGGCTCAATGGTTAAGAATACTGACTGTTCTTGCAGAAGACCCAGTTTCAAATCCCAGCACCCACATGACATCTAACAACTGTCCATAACTCCAATTCCAGGGGATCTGACAGCCTCTTCTGTCCTCCATGGGCATTGCACAGCCTGGATGCACTTACCTACATGCAGGCAATGCACGCATACACATAAAATAAAAAATAATATATCTTTTAAAAAAGAACTGGACAACAGGACAACTTAGGAAATCCTATACTTTTATTAGGCAAATGAACATTTAAAGATATTATCAACTAGGCATGGTGGCACACACCTTTAGTCTCAGTACTCAGGAAACAGAGGCAGAGGCAGGCAGATCTTTGTGAGATTGAGGGCAGCCTGGTCTACATAGTGTGTTCAAGGTCAGCTTGGGCTACAGGGAGAGCCTGTCCCCCAAACAAACAAAAACCCATATGTATTGTTTACATAGCAATGCCAGATTATTAAAGAAAACATGTTTCCCAATAATTCAATCTTAAAAACATGTACTTGATAAGAATCTTTAAAACATGTTCAAGGGCTGGGTGTATAGCTCAGTGACAGAGTATTCACCTAGCATGTGTGAGGCTCTGAGTTTGAGTTCCAGCACTGCAAAATTATAAATAGTAAGTAAATAAATAAGCAAATAAGTCTTATTGATGTATCTCAAATATAGAAATAGAGAACACGGGGCTGGAGAGATAGCTCAGCAGTTAAGAGCACTGGATGCCCTTGCAGAGGACCCAGATTCAATTCCCAACATTCAAATGGTCGCTAAGAACCATCTGTAATTCCAGTTCCATGGGTTCAGCTACCCTCTTCTGACTTGCACGGGCACTACATGACATGTGTACACTTTACATACATGTAGGCAATACGCTCACACACAATAAAAATAATAAATAAAAATTTTTTAAAAAAAATCATGACACAAAACTGGACAATTCTTTTCACAGAGGATTTCAGTTATGCCCCACTGTTGTTTAGCTCAAATCTGTAATTTGATTTCATGATATAAACTCAGAAAGCTAGTGAGGCCATAATAGGCCATATAATTACATGCCTCCTAAGGAAGTGTTACCTTTATTTCTTGGTTTCCTGTCAATCCAGCCACCAATTAAGACCCCAAATATTAATACAGATCCAGTCACCACTAGGCCAAACACTGCTGTTAGAAGAAGGTTGTGTCCATATAACTCTATCAGGAACACAGACATAGTAAAGTGCCACATTCGGTCTCCCCGCAAGGCAGAAAAGGCAAATCATGTTTTAATCACAGACTAAAAGATGGAATAAAATTAATTCTAGAAAGATAAGTTTCTCCCAGAGGACATGCCAACTTTAAAAAGAATGTCAAAACTATACTTTTATGTAGAACAACTATTACTTTATCTTATGCAATATACTTAGAACTTGAAAAAAATGTGCTTTTTGTCTTTTTGAGACAGCTGACCTGGAACTCACTATGTAGACCAGATTGGCCTCGATCTCACAGAGATCTGCCTGCCTCTGCCTCCCAAGTGCTGGGATTAAAGGCTTGCACCGCCATGCCTGCTGAGATGCACATAGCGCTCTTGGTTGGGAGAACTGTTGTGCAAAGGTCTGGAGAAAAGAGAATTCATGACTGCAAACAAGAAAATCTAGAGGTTAGGCTATAAAGTGCAAAAGGTGGGAAATGAGTGTGGTGCTCACCCTGTAAGTACTCAGGCGACTGAGGCAGGAGTATCACCGCAAGTTCAAGACCTGCCCTAGCTGCAGAGTAAAGCCACTCAGTCTCAAAAATACAAAATAAAAAAGAGAAGAAAGAGAAGTCCAAAGAGAGCTTCCCCAGGACACAGAAGGAAGTGGGAAGAGGTAAGGAGAGGTAAGGCTTTGAAGCTGGGGTCTCTTCATGGCCTCCAGAAGCAGCAGCCGCTCCACACTCATCTCTTATTGTGCAAACCAGAACATCTTGGATTCTCTCTTTTACACCCCCATGTCGCAATCATGTTCCCTGAATCTAAGATGGAAGGAAGGGAAGAGGGGAGGTGGGGAGGGGGAAAGAAAGGAGGGAGGGAAGGAGAGAGAGAGAGAGAGAGAGAGAGAGAGAGAGAGAGATCCTAAACCAACTACTTTTCACTTCCTCCACTGCTACCTTGTCTCTTGCTTGGGTGAGTACGGTGGTCTCCTAAATTTTTCCCCACTTCACCTCAGTGTACTCTCAGTTCCTCTTAATCATAGCAGATGGTGGGGTCCCAAAGAACCCTCCTAAAGATCTGTGCTGCTCCATCTCTCTCACTTCATCTTTTATTTACACCCCCTTTGATGACGCTCAGCTACAGGCCCTTCATTCTTGCCTCTGACGCTTTCACCTGCTGTTGCCTCAGTCTGGGATATTCTTCTCACAGGCATGCGCATGACTCCGTCAGCCACTAGTTCCTTCAGCTCTTTGCCTAAAACTCTTCTTCTCAGTAGGTCATTTCTACCCACCCAATCTAAAAATTGCACACAAGAGCTGAGCTCAGTGACATGTGCCTGTAGTGCCAACTACTTGGGAGGCTGAAGCAGGGGAATAGTTTGAGATAAACCTGGGCAACAGGGAGACCCTGTCTCAAGAAAGAAGAAAAAGAAAAAAGGAAGGAAGGGAGGG